TTTTTTTTTTTTTTTTTTTTTTTTTTCCCTATGAATATTCTCTCCTAGACTTCAAAAAAAAAAAAAAAAAGTCACCTGTTTTTGAGGTATATCCAAGACGTTGTGTTGCATTTAGTTTGGGAATTGTCACGTGTGCAGGTGATGTTCTTCTCTTCTGGACCTTGGTATTTCCAGGGATGATCACATGAACCCTTGGCCGAACCCAAAAGAATCAGTGATTTAAACAGAGTTTAAACTACCTAAATGCTTACTGTTAAAAAGAAATAACAAACGAAAAGATATTCTACAGCCACTGCTATGACGGTGTAGTAACAATTATTATCAGAGCTGTAACGAATGCGCTCTAATTAACCCAACAGGTAGGTACTAAACATTTGATTATGGAAGAGTAGATTGAAGCTGTATAAGAAGGGAAAAACAGCCTCACCTGACCTGGTATGACTAGATTAATGACGGCTTCATAAAAACTAGGGGGAAAAAAAAAAAAAAAAGTAGCACAAAGGGTAATTGTGTGAAAAACACAGGGTTAATTCTATTTTTCCCTATCCATTTTCCAATATTTCCCTGTGTGGGTTACATTAAAAAAAGGAACAAATGCTGAGCGGGAAGAAACACTCCTAGAATAGGGACATTACCCTGGCAAAATACATTACGTGTCCTCAGAAATATTTTTGTAGAGTCACAGAACGTTTTTCCATTTCCGATGTAAGAAATCCTCTGTACTTTTCTTCTATTTAAAAATCAGTCCGTGGGAGCAGTTGTTCGCCAAACCATTCGGAAATGCGGCTTAAACAACATAGGCTGAACTGGCTGAAGTTTTTTATTACTGATTAAACCTCATCGGTTACAGGCTGGAATAATTGCAGTGCGTGGTGAATAAATGAGGCTCGTTCTGAAATAGAGGCATCAATTTAGAATCCGTCCCTGCCAAAAAAAAAAAAAAAAAAAAAAAAAAAAAAAAAGTAGGGAAATTTAACAATTTAGACAAATCAGCCACTGAATCAGTCCCACTGGTTGCTGAGGTGGAGCCTCTACAGCAGATGATTTCATGGGCAGGCGAAGAGGCGGCCCCTCAAACCACGCGCCTCGCTTTCCAGAATCGAGGTCGTTATGTCACGAGTCAAATAATTAGCTCCAAAACCCCAACCATTAATCAAATTTATTGCATTGCTGTTGCCTCACATCCCCAAAATAAACGCCGAGCGGTTATGTCAGCTGCTTTGCAGCTCCCAGCCGGGGCGGGCATCCACAGCCACTTTGCTCCCGGTGTTTTTGGTGCTTTTTTTTAGGGGCGTTATTTCCTCTAAGCTTTAGAAGAGCGAATCCCAGTGCTGGGAGAACTGAGGCAGTTCTATAGGCACAACTAAATGAACTGTTCCTGTCTCCCTGAGGGTCAGCAGATAGGTTCAATAGCATCTTCGGGAGGGTGGCGGTGACCTAGGCTCAGTCAAAAGGCACTTTATGGCTGCTCTCCGCAAGGCAGATGGTGTTTTGTTGTGGTTTTTTTTTTTTTATTTCCCCCATAGTTTCGTTCTGCAAGTCAAGAACTCTTCTACATCTTTCCATATGCACTGTGAAAAAAATCCGTGTTTTACCAACACAAACACACGCACGCGCGCTTTACACATTAAATATCTATAAAATGACTGGCTTTTTTCCGCGGAGAGCCTCTGCCTGTGTCGCAAACACTTCAAAGGCTTCAAAGCAGAGGTGCCTGCAGCGAGGGCTGAAGCTGAGAGCAGAAGTGCTGGTTTCAGCTGACACTGGAGGTTTCAGGATCTTAGGGCATGAAAACATTTTTCACTCATTTTAAATTAATTTAATTAGAAAAAAAAATTTGAAGCAGAAATAACATATTTTTGAAGGTGGGCTGTTTTTTTTTTGTGTGGCTTTTCTTTTTTTTTCTAAACTGGAATATGGTGTCTTGAGATTAAACCTGCCTTTAAGTAGCTATTTTTAAACAGAAACATCTTCAGTGTTTAAGAAGGGACTGCAGGAACCTACTCTTTGCAGCCATTTTGGAGAGGAGTTTTTTTTTTCCTTTTTCTTTTCTTTTTTTTTTTTTTTTTCCC